TAAAATTTAAAAGCACGACGAAAATGGGCAATGCGCGGCGTTGGTACAGCGGCGAGGCGAGCGAGAGAACGTGTGGTGCGCGAGGAGCGCACGTCGGGCCGCCATGTCGTGTTGGTCTGTGTGCCCCGCACCCACAAGGGGGGCGGCGCGGAGGAAACAAGGCGAAACAAGGTGAGCCCCAGCGCCCGCGACTGCACAAAATGATCCCATATATACGAGCATGAGGCGAGCAGGATGAAGATGTTATCTGCCCCCTCCCGCCGCCCCGCCCCGCCCTGCTCCGGCGAGGCAGCCAGCGGAACGTGGTCGGGTCACGGTGCGCTGAGCGTCTCAATGTATGCCAAAAGGCACCTGAGCGGCCGCGGCGGCCCCCTCCACCCACGCTAGCCCGTCCGGGCGCAGCACCAGCTCCAACGTGCAGCGCTGCAGCTCGCGGCTCCAGCGGGGGCGGTAGGGCAGGGCTGCCAGAGGGAGCGACTGAGGGAGGGAGACGGAGGGGAGGTTTTCAAATTATCGACCGCCACGCGTGGTGGAGCCCCAGCGCCAGGCCCCCGCGCTGCATGGGGAAGGGGCAGGGGGGTTATATCGCTGGAGTGGCGCCTATGTTTTATTACGCGGCGGACACACACACACACACACACACGCGATTTTACCCCCCCCCCTCAAGCGAGCAGCCGCAGCCACCGCTGTGGACGGGCCGCGGGCTGCCCTACATTATTGTCGGTGCCCTCCGTCTGTTGTTCACCTGAAACACACAGATGGGATGGCGCGGCCATTAGCGGAAGCACATGTCCCCCCTCCTCCTCCCCCCCCCTCCCCCCACACGGCGCGGAGGCCATCGGCACACACACACACACACACACTCGTGCGCGCGAGCTAACAAACGAGAGGGAGAGGCGGCGGCGGGCCCAACTGCCCGTGTCAGCACAGCGACGGCGGCAATGGGTGTCGGGGCGTGGCCGCGTGCCCGGGGGGCCGCAGGCCGCAGTGCACGGCCGGGACGGCGACACAACGCGCGCCGCGCACGCACCCCCGGCGCCCCCGCCGCAGAGCCGAGCAGGGCCGAGCCGGGCACAGCCGGGCCGCGTTGTTCCCACGGAGGCGCGTCCACTTTCCCCCGCCGCCACCGTCATAACGCCCCATCGCGTGCCGAGCAACGCGGAGGATGCTCAGCCAGGAACAGCTCCGCGATGTGTACCACCGAAACAGTAATGATGATGATGCCGACGTCCACCAAATAACATCCTTCCGATGAGAAATGTCGCGCCCAGCCTGCTTTTCGACACGCAGCACCACCACCGCCTTGCCTTTGCAACCATTATGTCGACCATGGCCCCCGGGAGAGAGCAAGCAGCGCAGCCGCCACCATCACCACCTCGCCGCGGGCCCGGCCGACCCCCTACCGACCGCGCAGGACCTTGTTAGCCGCGACCGCCCGACCCCCAATCTCCATCATCGGCGGCCTTCGGGCCAGGCCCCCGGGGCCCCGCCCACCATCCGCACCCCATCAACTCTGTGTACCCCATCTTCCCATTTTCCGCACTCTGCCTCCTAACGGCGTCATCTTCGCTCTCCGCCCCGCACGCTCGTCCGCGCCCCCCACCCCCTTGCTGGGCGGGTCTCCTCTCTCGCAACCCTCACCTGTACCCCCCTCCTCTCCTCCTCGTCGTGCCCCTGCCAGCCTCAACACCACCCAATCGACATGGAAGCGGGCCCAGCCAAGCCCCGGCCAGCCCCAGCTAGGCGCCTTTATCGACCCGGGAGAGAGAGGGGGGGGGGGGGCGCGGGTCAGAGACCCCTGGTACTACCCGCCCGCACCCCGCCACACTCCACGGGACAGGTACTGCAGGATTCCAGCCGCAGTGCCGCAGCGGGCGGGCTGCACAGTGCACACACGCTGTCCCTTCGGCCTCCCCCCACCGCGAGCTGACAGGTGCATCGGGCCGCTAAATCACAAGAGCGCGGGCGCGTTTTATTTTTACCGCCCACCCATCGGCCGCTCTAGCCCTGGTGCACCAGAGGATGGATGAAGGTCGGAAATGTCTCGCGGGCCAGACACTCCACAGGCCCGGCGAGCCCAACGAGCACTCCGCACAGGCGGCACGAGGGCTCCTCCTGGCCTCCCCGGGGAAATGTCGATGGGTTTCCGGGCGGGCCCCGGCGGGCTGACTCCCCTGCCGCGCCACCGGGTCCGACTGTCAAAGAGAGAAGGGACCTGGCGCCACTGCGATGCGGGGCGGGGCCGGGTCGGGGGCTGCGGAAGGGTTGGAGCCTCTGAAACAAAAGTTTGGGACCGACGGGCAGGCGGGCAGGCGAGCGGAGGGTGTTTACCGCAAGGCCAGGCCAGGCCGTCTGTCACGCACACGGAAGTGAGCTGCGACCTGTGGGAGGGGGGCGCGAGGGTGGCCGTGGCCGGTGAGGGGCGCGCGTGGCCCTAGCAGAGGGGTGCATGGATGAGTTACAGGCGACCTGTGGGAGCGATCACGCCATCAGTATTCCGATAAGAGGAGGGGTCGTGCTTAAAGTATAAGACGCAAGATCATTTCCTTGGGCCGTGCGGGGGACGTCGACACGACAACCTCCACGTCGAGTAGTTGAAACAGGGTCAGGTCCGAAGGGAGAAAAGGGCCGGGCGCCGCCTCGGGACGCCACCCGGCGCCACCAAGGAAGACGAGAGGACGCAACTCGGCCGTCATTGCAAAAGCGGCGCGGAGCGGAGCGGTGCGGCGGGCATGGAAGCCGCTCGCATAAACACACAACGGACGGAACTCGGGCTTGCCGGGCAGGAGGCCGCGGCCGCGCGTACCACTGTACTGTACCCACCGTGCAAGCGCGCCCAGGCTAGCCTAGCCTCGACCATCATGTGAGATGATGCAGACGACACAGCACAGCGACGCGCGCGAGCACACACACGCACACACACACATGCACACAGCGGGCGCTAAAGTTATCCCTTACGTCACCTCATCACGCCCAGCCCGAGCCGAGGCGAGCGGCACGCCGCCGCCGCCCGAGCCGAGCCGGTACAGTAGCACCTGATTCGTATTCAGATTCCCACGCCCATCTCCATTCATTCGCGCGCTACGGGAGAGACAGTTTCTTTCTTTCGAAAGCGATAGAACAAAAAAACAGGTCGTGGGAGGGGAGAATCTGTCAACTGCGCTGTCAAATGTCACCGACCGACTAACGCGGGGGCATTGCTGATCATCGTTGAGGAAATTCAACAGCAGCCTGTGGGAGCAAAACGACTAAGTCCATATTGCAGACCCCCCTTCAACGGGGGGCACCTGTGGCGGCCCACTAACGAGGGAACGGCTGCAGGTGTCAAGTCTCACGGCGCGGGCGCCCCCGGCGACCTCCCCGCCACGCCCCCACGCCGCTAGAGGAACTCCGCGGCGCCCGCGTTCCCACCGCGCCATGCAAAGCACGACGACGACGGCGAGGCGAGGCGCGGCGGGGCGGGGCGGGGCGTGACGTTGCGTGGCGGGGCGGCGTGCAGCGGCGCGGAGAGACAAACAGACGCGACAAGCGGCACTGTTCCTTCTTTCAGGACTAACCGCGGCAGGACCTCGGCAGTGATGGCGCGGCGGGGGCGGAGCACGCGGAGCAGCCGACTGATTCCGAGGAGCGCCCTGCCATACCTTCCGTATAGCTCCGTCCTTGTTGCACTCATAGGAGGGTAGCCCACCTTGAGAGCGCTCTTCGGAATCGGGCCGACAGGTACACGACCAACAGCCACAGCCGCCAACCTCCCTCAGAGTGGTGCCCCGGTGTCCTCGTGCCCGTGCTCGCGGTGGCGCCTTGGGGTGGGAGGGAAGCGCGGACCATCCCCCGACACGGCAAAGCCATCAGCGCCACTCGCCGACCTCACCGCGTGCCCGGAGGCAGGGCAGGCGTGATCCAAAATGATGGTTAAGCCCCCCCCCCCTCCACCTCTGAGCAGCGCTCTGGCGTGCCCTATATATGGCGGCGACATCAATCACAATCAGGCTTTTATGAGCGAGATTGTCCTTTGTAAGGCTTTCCCACTCCACCGCCAGGCTGCAACCTGAAGCCACGCGAGAGGGGCGGAACCAGGAGGTGGAGAAGTCCAGAGTCCATGATGGGTCGAGGAAGGCGCACCCCAAAAAAAGGCAAACTCATCGGGCAAATTGTGACAGATTTGTCGTGATGACGTGCTTGGACAGCCCCCACTCCCGCTGTCATCGTCGTCGACACGCCAAGAAGTTTATCGTCTCCTTTTCTCTCCGTGGCGAGGCCGAGGGGCTTAACCTGTGGGGACGCGTAAGGTTTGGCGGAATCGCGAATGTAAGCCTCTCCTGAATCGATTTGCCACTTGACTCGCGCGGGATTATATTTCGTTTCGGCAGCAGTGTACACAGCGGGCGGGGCGGGCACGACAATATAAGCGTCACGAATAGGCCGGCGGCTGGAGGAAGAATGGACCACCGAAAATAACAACATCACGCCAGTCACGCGGCGAGGAACCCGCGCTGGATGGTGGTACCCACCTCGCGCCGCCAGGGCGCAACCCGCAACACTACACTGCAACTAAACCTTTGCGTGAAAAGCGCATTCCACAAACACACACACACATCAATGTGTACGAGCGACGGCAAATTATTATTACTCTATTACGGCCCACTCGAGAGAGATGTCGGCGCATATCATTACGAGGCCGTTACAAGCCGACCAGGCGAGGCGGGGCGGGGCCGCGGGGCATATCGCCGCGCGCTCACAAACGGACTGAGGGAAAGAAAAGGAAAATAATGAGAGATAGAATGCGGCCGTATCGGGGCGGGTCCCGACTCCCGACCCCAGAGAGCAGAGCGCCCCGCCTCGGGCCGGCCTGCCTCCCCGCCTGGCCCGCCTGCCCATCGTTGCATCGCGCGGCGCGGCCACCAGAGCACATTTACAGGAAACGCCCTTTGTGAAAGCTTGCGCCCGGCCCGGACGGCCGCCGGGGTCCTTTCGACAGTGTGTACTGTACAGAAACTCACCACGTCAGTCGTTGCTCCCCGGCAGACACCCGTTGGAAGCAGCGGTCCCGGTCGGCCCTGCGGGAGCGAGAGAGAAGCCATGAGTCCGGAACAAGAGTAGTACACGGGAGGGGAACACACATGAAGCGACGGACGATAGAATCGCTGCGGTCCAGTCTGCCCAGCCGGTATGAGAAATAACACATTCATGGATGCAATCCTAGAACCGTTCCGGCAGCCGCGGCGGTGGCTCATGCAACGCGAGCGAGGGGGGGTTCACTGCACTGTGACTCACACCGCAGCTCCCCACTACCACAGTTGGAGGGAGAAGGCATGAGAAAAGGAGGGAAAAGGAAAAAAAAATGGAATAGAGGGGGAAGGGGG